GGGGATTTGGCAGTCCGCGTGTATGCACGCTCTGCAACCGTCTTCGATTCCATCCATTAGCCACTCGTAGGGAGCTGTTTGACTAAGTGCATTGTTTTAAGATTTAAAAAGTAAAGAATATTTTATATTTTTATGTACGTTTCTTTGCAAAGCTATATTTAATTATAATTTTCTTTAAAGTATATTCATATAATTGAAGAATATTTTTTATGTACCGGTACATCCACCACATATTTTATTTCACCCAGTAAGTTTTTATTATTTTATTTTTAATTGTAGCCCTTATATCGTGGCTAGCGATTCGGAATGTAATTGTGATATTAAAAATGCATTTAGAGAAGTCTACGGTTTTTACTGGCTTATCGAATAAACGATACGAATGGACCCTAGACCATCACTGACGCGCAATTGACTGATTGCCCCTGGATGTCGGCTTCTTACAGAAACACAGCTTCCCTATAGTCAAATGTCACGGCACGCCCCTGAAATAAGCATTATCTGTTACCATAAAAGCTGACTGGTAAGTGTTATATATCCACGATATATTAATATTTTTACAAAGAATCAAGGATATACTGTAAATTTCGATTTGTCTTGTCCTGTATCTGCTAAATGGGCATAATCTTTTGGTCTATATCACCCCGTGGTAAAATGTGACGTAATTGTATGCGTTTATGATGGTCGTTAATGTCTCCCTGGAGGTCTTTTAAGGATAACTGGCCCCTATTTAGACGTTATAGACACGAAGAAAACCCGGAAAATTCCATGTGACCAGCCCTTTCGGCCAGGCGCGAACCCACGACCGGTGTTCGGGGAACGGAACCGCTTGGCCACTGGTGGGCCAAATTTCGATTTATTTTAAAATTATAATTACTCACTTTCTTTTAGTTAAAATGACGTAAAACTTTGCATATTAATTTCTAAATTAAAATTATATTCGAACGAATAAAATTCAATATTACCTAATAATAATTAATTCACATTTTTTTGAAATACGCGCGAGAGGGCGCTTTGTATAAAAATAGGTCAAACAAAAACACTCGAGAGAGTTCGCGGAAAAAAATAGTAGCGAAGTACAACCAGATGGAAATTGCGATGTCGATTCGATTTCATTGTTTATCTCGATCGTAATTACCTTTAAACATTTTAAATTCAAACAGTTAGTTTAATTTATCCATTTACATGACGGAAAGGTGATGTCTGAAGTTAAAATTAGTTTGGACAATTGTGCAGAAGATGACAGAGAATGGTATGAAAATGGTAAGAGAAAATAGCGGTACTTATCGCAGTTTTTAAGTGAGAGTAATTATAAAACGGATCAGACGTGTATAGACGTCGTCGTTTGTTAAATTCCACATACATATCAATTAAGTGTAGGCGTTTTACAGCTGCGACATTTTAAACAGTGCACAAGTATATTTAAATGTCATCACGACATTTAATGGTTACTCTCTTTTCCTTAGCTTTTACACGTAAAAATCAAATAAGATCCTTTAAATTTTAACAATAAAAAAAACTTGTATTTATGTAATTGTACAAATTCTGACCTTGTAATAATTTTCCTTTCTGCGATTTATAAGGAAAATATGAACGAGCCGTAATAATTCTCGAATTGAAAATTAAAGTTTAGTATTTTACCATGATTTTTGTCGTTTTCTTTTTCTTTAAATTATCATGCTCTATAAAGCAGTAATAAAATAAAATAAAGTAATATAAAATACTTCAAATAAACACGTCTTTATTTGAAGCATTTTATACCAACACTCTGGCGATTTGGAAAATTAAATTTCTCTAGAGAGATTGACTTATTATTATGTACTTCATTCCGCGTTCAGAAAGAAGAAAGGTGACCATAATGTTAATTAATGGTGATTATAACCAAAAAAATATGTCCGCCCCAAATTACAAAATGCTTTTTGTGATAAAATTTTCGATTTCTCTCAAAATTTGATCAATCTACGGATTGTTTTGAAAGATGTAATTCTGCTGCAGTAAATGAGATGATTGAAGCTAGTTAAATATATAGTTTGTTAACCAAACTTTTACATTAAACCTAACTTTTCTTTATTTGTATGGTTCGTCAGATATGAATGTTAGAAATGTGCTTAGGAGAGGACTGTAAAAATAAACACTTTATATTAATACATAAATTTCTGCACAACTATTGATCCCAGACAAGTGTAAACAGTTTGTGCTTTGCGAGCAGCCAGCGTTCTTGGATGGAGCAAATTGTTTATGCTTCGGTCTGATTTGGTTCCTCTTAGGGCAGATCTTTCTGCATCTGTTGCCACTGAAGTTGGAAGAGTTATCACCATGCAGGTATTGTATCTATGCTTGATACAAATCTTGTTCTTCTGAATAAGATGTCCTAGACTGTTTCTTGAGGCGTAAACTCACAAGGACAACAACTAGCTGTTATGTTCCTTGATCAATAAAAGGTTGTAGCTAGCATTAAGCATTCTAGCTACCTAGCTAGCATTCTTGTAGATGAAGTGCTAGCATTCTTATTGTTTGCTCATCTCCCGCATTCTAGTTTGGTAGTTTCCTCATCTTTGCAAGTCAAGTAGTACATACAAGAAATACTTGGCAATTATGTATACTTTTTACAAAACTGTTCTTGTCTTTTGTATCCATCTGTGCTGGTTTTCAAGTCTGTCCTGTTGACCAATGTTTTCTTAATTGAATGAGATTTTACATCCCAACAAGTAATACATTTATGGGAGTCTCTGCTTATAGTAACTAGGAATAATTATTTCTACTTTGATAACAAATATTACCTTCAAAAGCAGGGTATACCAATTGTTTCTTTCTTGTCACTGATTCTAGATGATTGATGCATGATTGTCTTTATTTGATTTTGATGTATTTAGAATGGAACCAGTTCTTCTCTTTGGGTTGTTTCATAAATTTGATAGACATCTTATTAATTATCCAGCTATTGCTTTTAGCCTGTCTTATACAAAACTAGCAGTTTAGAGACATACTTTTTGCTTATTTCAGATAGAAGATTAACATAGAATTTCTTTGAGGAATAAAGTGCAACAAAAGAGATCTAAATTAGAATGTTCTAATTTAGAACTGTAACCTAAAGATAGCCTGTTAACTAAACTGAAAACATTAGTTAAAACAAAAAGTTTTACTAGAGATATTAAGTATATGATCTTAATCAGTAGTTCCAGTTGGACATTTAGACTCAATGATCTTTTTATTTCAATCTCTCTACCTGATCTTTTACTTTGTAGTAATATAATACAAAATAATAAAACAACTTTGAATATACAATTTTAATCAATGTCCAGTTTAATTGATAAAAAAGAAATGTATATATTATAACATATTAAACTTCCTTATAGAAGTTTAAATATTTAAGTAGAAATGACTTAAGAGAAATGTTAAAAAAAAAGAGATTGATAGTTAATAGTTAAAAACCTTGAAGTTGAGCAGTAAAGATATGAACATTTTAAAATACTAATGGAAATTTAATTGCAAAGTTTTGAAATATAAAATTACAGATCATTATTTGTAATATTAGGATTTTTCTAACTATAAGAAAATTTTCAGATTACAAACTTAAAAAAAAAGTTGGAAAATTGTAGCATAATAATAGTCTTTGTATCAGTTTGAGTTTTGTATTATTTGAGTTAACATTTTGTTCTAGAAACTAGGTCACAAATTAAAGGAACTTTTCATCTTAAACAAAAAAAAAAAATTGTTATGTAGTAAGTTGTAATATCAATTAAATTATCAGTTAAGAAATCTGTATCAATTATTTCTGACATATTTAATACAATTTGTTACTTTGTTATAGTATACTGAATCACTAATAGGTAGCCAACTTCTTTGTTGATTTGAAAAACAGAAAATCTGTATATTACATAATGAGATTCTTAACTAGATCACAATTAAATAGTTTATAAACTGGATTAGTGTTAGCAAAAAGATTTTATCTAATTTAAAATTTTGATTTTTGTAAATACTCATCACATGCATTTGATAAGTAACTTAGTTATATAATGAAAATAAGAATAAAATAATCCTTCTTTGTTTTAAGTGTTGTTTGAATGTGAGAATCATTTCTAAAGTCAGAACAAGCTGAGAGTTTTCCTTGTATTTATATATATATTTTTAAATTAAAATTTCCATCTTCATTGAATAGTTTTTTAAATGTTTATTATTTTTATTATAAAATTAAAGTTGATGATTAGAATGTCAATCGATATTATGGTACCATCTACATGATTTGCAAATCCTTTGACAAAAACTATGTCATAATCGTTTGTCATAAAGCTATTTATTCCATAAATTCTAATAAAATGTAACAGTTGTGAGCAACTTGCAGACTGCTCATGACTGACATTTGCAAGGTCTTAATTTGTAACCCTGAGGCTTTAACAATGTAATTTTATTTTTCTATTTTCTACCTCAAGCTATCAAGTAACACTAATTAAGCTTGTATTCATAACAAAGAATATTCAAACTAAACTTGACCAGTGAAAAAATGAGAATAAATATATATTAAAGAGACTATTTTTCATATCAGTATATATTATTTTAGTATCTACTATACTGGCAGTTAACTTATATTGGCTTATTCTTAAGAAAAAGCTTGTGGCCTGCTAGAAGCCTATAAAGGTCACTTGCAACCTGCATCTATAAAAAGTTGCTCATCACGAAAATATATTACCAGTAAACAATGATTATTTTTCTTTATTTGTCAAATCATTGTAATATTACAATGATTTGTTCTTTAATTACTTTATTATTTATGATTATATTTTATTGAAGACATTAAATTTAACTAAATTAACAAATAAAATATTTGTATTGTATTTATAACATATTTTTAAAATTTTAGAAATTAAATTTTTTAATCTTTCTTAAATAGTGACTTCTCAATTGTTATTGTAGCTAAAAGTAACTATAGTTATTTTGACAATTAAACTGATGCAACTAGTTGCATTAATTCTATTCTTAAAATAACTTTTCTATACATGTTCCTTATCATCTTAAAGCAAACACAAGATTTTACGTCATACTATTAAATTTCTCTTATATATCTGCACTGTAGTCAATCAGTATCAGAAATATCAATTCTGTAAAGAATATTAGCAATTTTTGAAATAAACTGTGCATAAAATATAATAACCAGTTGCTTTCATCATCATTTTACGAACTCTAACCAATGTGAAAAAGGAGTTATTGATTCTTTCTTCAAGCCACTGTATCTCAATAAAGTGTATATTTGGAACAACACAATTTTATTTATTTATTTTTAAACATACCCAAGTAAATAAAGCATAATGAAATAACTGAAAAAATTTACAATTTGTTGTATGATGGTATATTGATTTTTTTTTTTGTTTTTGTAAAAGTTTGCTTAATACAAAGTGCCAATTTTTAAGTTCCTTCAACTTTGTATTAATGGGGTTTGACTATATCTTTTTATTTTGAAATCTACATTGAAATGTAATGTATTTCTCTAAATAAAAACAATTTGTTTAATAAAATATATATTCTTATAAAAATTTAATTATAGATTGCTGTTTTAGAATTAAGTTTTGTGATTAAAATTATAATAAATGTTAATTATTATAGAGTAAAGAAATTATAGATGATATAAATTATTTTATAATATAGTTAACCTGTTTTTATTATTTTGTTTTTAAAGACATGAAAGATTGAAATTTTTATTTATAATATTTATTTTGATTATAAATTCATAAGTGTTCTATAAATTACTTATTAATTTTATTTATCTAAATTTAATAATAAATTTATAGATAACATATTTTCTTGCTATTTGAATTTATATAAATTGACTATAAATTTCATATATTTCATTTTATTACTTTATTTGAATTTAATTTTATAGTTGAATTTTTATTTTTAGATTTGCAGTTGGCTGCAGAACTTGGTATGGCACTTTTAAAAAGAAATCAAGAGCTTGAAAATATAGTTTATCAAAAGCAATTAATTATTGATGAGCAATTACAAGAAATTGAGGTATATACTCTAGATTTTCTCAACAATGATATTAAAAGTATTTACTGTTATGAATTCTTTCATTTTCATTTAGTAATTCATTTTAGTTTCAGCAGTTTCCAAACTTTTCCTGCTATGCTTATTACTCTACAATAGTGTTTTAGAACATTGATTTGTATGACTCATTAAAGAAAACATTTCTATTTAACTGAATTAATTTCCAATATATTCATATCTGATTAAAACTCTTTATTGATTTTATTGAATAAATAATAATTGTTAATTCAGTAATTTTAGACTTAACCATTCAGCAAGGATCTTAAACAAAGTTAATATTTACATCACTAATAGTAAATTATTAACATGAAGAATAGACTTTGTTTTCTAACGATTGGTTCTAATTATTTAAAACATTTAAATTGTCATATTGAATAATCTAGAATAGATTTCTTTGTATGGAGTAGATTTCATATTCTATCATATATAATGCAAGAAATGTAACTTCTATATATGTAAATTGTTTGTTTAAAACCATTGTTATAGTTAATGTTTATGCAATGTAAGAACATTATTTCAGACTAGGTAACTAGTTGTATACAGTATCTAGTAGATAACTAATCATCAATTATAAATCATAAATAAGTGAAAAACATACTTGGAAGGACCCACTTAGAAAATTTTTTTATGCCCACTTGTCAATTTCCACATATAATTTCAGACAACTGGTGATTTATTTTATCTGACTATTTTTAATTATCACATTCTTATTCAAAATAAATTATTAAAAGCATTTTCATGAAAATCATTAAAAAAATTACAACACTTGCATGGCAGAGTTATAATTTTATTGGAAAAATTTAAAACATTTAAAATTAAATACAAAGATTTATTGAAAATTTCAAAATAAATTAATTGAAAATAATCAAATAGAGGCCATTTAAGTGTTATATAAGGCAGCAGTTAATGGGGATTTGTTTGTATCTGACAATGGAAGAGGGAAGGTGACAATGTAAGATTGCACCTGTTGTTTTCTCCCATTCATTACAAAGTTGAGAATCCTGTGCATTTGCAAATGGTTTTAGCTTCTAGCCTGATGACGTAATTATGGAAAGGTGCGTTTCTTGATTTTTGATGACTGGTGGTGATGGGGAGAGGGGTCAATTTTTGCTGATGTATTACTTGAATGATTCCATATTCACATAATTTTTTTATAATTATGTTTTCTAAAATAAAATTATTAGTCAAAGTACAGTATGTCTTAGTCTATGTACACAGTCTATGGTAGTGCATTTAAAAGATACTTATTTTACATATATAAGCAACTTTCAATGAAATTTTGAACTTTTTAAAAACAAGTTTAAAGGTCTTATTGACTTTCTCTTGAAAGTATCAAAATTTATTAAAGTATTTTTTTTACAACATTTACATTAAGATGTATCAGGTTGCAAAGGTGAAATTTAGACATCTTGAAAAAGTGATTTATTGACAGTTAACCAACAATGATTACAGTTCAGCCTGGTAGGTAATCACCATCAATCAGATCATGCCACCTTTTTTTTGCAAACTTTTAATCCCACGAGCATAAAATGACTATGGTTTACTTTGAAGAAAGTCTTGAGCATCAGATATTGTCATTGAACTGTATGTTGGCAATATAGTTCTGTAGAGTGTGAAAAGATGGTATTCGGTTGTGCTTATAGCACAGACTTGGCACCAACTGAATATCATTTTTTGGATGAGGCAAAACCTCCCAGCCCAAACTGGCCAGCTTCTCCAAAGTCGTCTTTGCTGTATGTATTGGTACGTTGTCATGACAGTACCAGACTGTCAATTTTTGGATGAAGTTGTTTGATCTTGGTATTCAAATGATCCAGCTGTTCATGAGAGTCTATAGTAGAGGTCTTACGTGACAGTGATGTTTGTTGGAAGCAGCTCCATCAGGATTTTGCCAAACAAAATTTTTAATAAAATATATATTAAATTGTTTTGATTCATATTGTTTCTTTGCATGCNTGCATTTAGAGAAGTCTACGGTTTTTACTGGCTTATCGAATAAACGATACGAATGGACCCTAGACCATCACTGACGCGCAATTGACTGATTGCCCCTGGATGTCGGCTTCTTACAGAAACACAGCTTCCCTATAGTCAAATGTCACGGCACGCCCCTGAAATAAGCATTATCTGTTACCATAAAAGCTGACTGGTAAGTGTTATATATCCACGATATATTAATATTTTTACAAAGAATCAAGGATATACTGTAAATTTCGATTTGTCTTGTCCTGTATCTGCTAAATGGGCATAATCTTTTGGTCTATATCACCCCGTGGTAAAATGTGACGTAATTGTATGCGTTTATGATGGTCGTTAATGTCTCCCTGGAGGTCTTTTAAGGATAACTGGCCCCTATTTAGACGTTATAGACACGAAGAAAACCCGAAAAATTCCATGTGACCAGCCCTTTCGGCCAGGCGCGAACCCACGACCGGTGTTCGGGGAACGGAACCGCTTGGCCACTGGTGGGCCAAATTTCGATTTATTTTAAAATTATAATTACTCACTTTCTTTTAGTTAAAATGACGTAAAACTTTGCATATTAATTTCTAAATTAAAATTATATTCGAACGAATAAAATTCAATATTACCTAATAATAATTAATTCACATTTTTTTGAAATACGCGCGAGAGGGCGCTTTGTATAAAAATAGGTCAAACAAAAACACTCGAGAGAGTTCGCGGAAAAAAATAGTAGCGAAGTACAACCAGATGGAAATTGCGATGTCGATTCGATTTCATTGTTTATCTCGATCGTAATTACCTTTAAACATTTTAAATTCAAACAGTTAGTTTAATTTATCCATTTACATGACGGAAAGGTGATGTCTGAAGTTAAAATTAGTTTGGACAATTGTGCAGAAGATGACAGAGAATGGTATGAAAATGGTAAGAGAAAATAGCGGTACTTATCGCAGTTTTTAAGTGAGAGTAATTATAAAACGGATCAGACGTGTATAGACGTCGTCGTTTGTTAAATTCCACATACATATCAATTAAGTGTAGGCGTTTTACAGCTGCGACATTTTAAACAGTGCACAAGTATATTTAAATGTCATCACGACATTTAATGGTTACTCTCTTTTCCTTAGCTTTTACACGTAAAAATCAAATAAGATCCTTTAAATTTTAACAATAAAAAAAACTTGTATTTATGTAATTGTACAAATTCTGACCTTGTAATAATTTTCCTTTCTGCGATTTATAAGGAAAATATGAACGAGGCGTAATAATTCTCGAATTTAAAATTAAAGTTTAGTATTTTACCATGATTTTTGTCGTTTTCCGTTTTCTTTTTCTTTAAATTATCATGCTCTATAAAGCAGTAATAAAATAAAATAAAGTAATATAAAATACTTCAAATAAACACGTCTTTATTTGAAGCATTTTATACCAACACTCTGGCGATTTGGAAAATTAAATTTCTCTAGAGAGATTGACTTATTATTATGTACTTCATTCCGCGTTCAGAAAGAAGAAAGGTGACCATAATGTTAATTAATGGTGATTATAACCAAAAAAATATGTCCGCCCCAAATTACAAAATGCTTTTTGTGATAAAATTTTCGATTTCTCTCAAAATTTGATCAATCTACGGATTGTTTTGAAAGATGTAATTCTGCTGCAGTAAATGAGATGATTGAAGCTAGTTAAATATATAGTTTGTTAACCAAACTTTTACATTAAACCTAACTTTTCTTTATTTGTATGGTTCGTCAGATATGAATGTTAGAAATGTGCTTAGGAGAGGACTGTAAAAATAAACACTTTATATTAATACATAAATTTCTGCACAACTATTGATCCCAGACAAGTGTAAACAGTTTGTGCTTTGCGAGCAGCCAGCGTTCTTGGATGGAGCAAATTGTTTATGCTTCGGTCTGATTTGGTTCCTCTTAGGGCAGATCTTTCTGCATCTGTTGCCACTGAAGTTGGAAGAGTTATCACCATGCAGGTATTGTATCTATGCTTGATACAAATCTTGTTCTTCTGAATAAGATGTCCTAGACTGTTTCTTGAGGCGTAAACTCACAAGGACAACAACTAGCTGTTATGTTCCTTGATCAATAAAAGGTTGTAGCTAGCATTAAGCATTCTAGCTACCTAGCTAGCATTCTTGTAGATGAAGTGCTAGCATTCTTATTGTTTGCTCATCTCCCGCATTCTAGTTTGGTAGTTTCCTCATCTTTGCAAGTCAAGTAGTACATACAAGAAATACTTGGCAATTATGTATACTTTTTACAAAACTGTTCTTGTCTTTTGTATCCATCTGTGCTGGTTTTCAAGTCTGTCCTGTTGACCAATGTTTTCTTAATTGAATGAGATTTTACATCCCAACAAGTAATACATTTATGGGAGTCTCTGCTTATAGTAACTAGGAATAATTATTTCTACTTTGATAACAAATATTACCTTCAAAAGCAGGGTATACCAATTGTTTCTTTCTTGTCACTGATTCTAGATGATTGATGCATGATTGTCTTTATTTGATTTTGATGTATTTAGAATGGAACCAGTTCTTCTCTTTGGGTTGTTTCATAAATTTGATAGACATCTTATTAATTATCCAGCTATTGCTTTTAGCCTGTCTTATACAAAACTAGCAGTTTAGAGACATACTTTTTGCTTATTTCAGATAGAAGATTAACATAGAATTTCTTTGAGGAATAAAGTGCAACAAAAGAGATCTAAATTAGAATGTTCTAATTTAGAACTGTAACCTAAAGATAGCCTGTTAACTAAACTGAAAACATTAGTTAAAACAAAAAGTTTTACTAGAGATATTAAGTATATGATCTTAATCAGTAGTTCCAGTTGGACATTTAGACTCAATGATCTTTTTATTTCAATCTCTCTACCTGATCTTTTACTTTGTAGTAATATAATACAAAATAATAAAACAACTTTGAATATACAATTTTAATCAATGTCCAGTTTAATTGATAAAAAAGAAATGTATATATTATAACATATTAAACTTCCTTATAGAAGTTTAAATATTTAAGTAGAAATGACTTAAGAGAAATGTTAAAAAAAAAGAGATTGATAGTTAATAGTTAAAAACCTTGAAGTTGAGCAGTAAAGATATGAACATTTTAAAATACTAATGGAAATTTAA